GTTTCACTTTCTGTAGGACCAATGGCATATTGGAACTGGGTACCACTAGTTCATGTGAGCCAATTTTAGATTTTCAAAAAATTTTCAAACTGAATGGTAAAGACTGCTATTTTTAAAAATAAACTATTGAAACTCACAATTACATAAATTATATTGAAAATAAGGTAATAAATACTCAAAAGTCATCGCTTCCTAATTATTTTATCACACTGTATTATTATGTGTACTCCTGAGGTTTTGCTTCAGTTGTCTATATTTTGGAAATACTACCTCATGGCATATCTATTCCCAATTCTGATTTCGGGGACTTCATGTTGTTAGCTTGAAATGAGCCATATGGGAATATTTACACCATGGAAATTGTCAAACAATACAAATTAGGCCTATTTTCCTTGGAATGGCAGTTTAAAATCTTGCCAGCATACCACTAAGCAAATGTCATCCTTGGGACTACATCACAGCTGGCTGGTGGAGACCAGGGATGACAATGTTAGACAGGCCCTGCCCGCTACTCCCTAATCCTGTCAGGATATTTGCTCACTAATAATGTTTTAATAAGTCTGTGAAGTTGCTACACGCATCTTCATAGACTGATGTTGAAGCAGCCACATCTACAATCTGCACCTCCTGCTTTTCTAGTAGCAACAACAAAGATTGATGAGATATACTACAGAAGTTCAACAGAATCATGCTCCCTGGAAAACAGCTTGACATTTTGAATTAGTGTTTGCTAACTTCCACTCAGTGATAAACCCTAATATGAAAATGCAATTAAAGTGACTACATAGTTTTTCTCAGAGTTCAAGGAGCATGTGTAGAAAGATAAAGTATAAGTAGGACAGTGGGGAAATAATTATTTAGGAGCAACACACACACACACACACACACACATTTCATTGAAATATTTCGTGCCTTTGTAATAAGGAAGTCTTCAACAATCAAGGATTCAGGAGAGCCAGATAGTGACACAGCAGTAAAATGCAACAGTGTGCGAGGCTGACTCACATGGGAAAGTTCTGGGTTCGTGTCCAGAGACCTCTCCGAGTATGCCAGCATGTGTGTGCCCATGACCAGGAGCTGACTGAAGCTAGGGGTGGTATGAAGACCCTTGTGGGGCTGCTGGTGTTCTCTCTTTCATTTTCTCTGTCTCTCTCACTTGTGGAAAAAATAAACAAGTAAAAGAAATCAAGGATTTGGGTTAAGTATAAGATAGCTCTCCTGTAGGTAAAACCAAATGAGGCTCACTTTCCCCTTCCAGGTTTCCTGAAGCTAACCTTTTTCCTTCCGTTTTACATGCCCCCTCCACAAATAGAGCTGGGAAAAAATATCTGTTACAATGACCCAGGCTTTACCATTCGGCAAATCTCTCTAAATTATAGGCTTTTTCCTTATAGAGACCATTTACAGTGGACATAATACAAGGCTGTGTTCAACTATGCCACTCTTTGAACTAGCTGTACCATGTTATTACCACACTAAACTGGAGTGGCCAGTCTTTCTATAAATAACTATCCTCCTCACTGGGTAGATGAAAATCCTTAGTAGCAGTTCCTACATTATTGATTTTCTGGTTTCTAGCTTCTCTGCTGGGAATGACTTTTGAGTTGTTTTGAAAAGAGAAGTCTTGTAAACACTTGACTGTTGCTGGACTCAAGAAAAATCCGATTAGCAGGGAATCAATAACATTATTACTCAGCTGGATTCCCTGTAATTCTTCCATCTGTGGGCCAGGTGGGTGGTTGGGCACAAGGATGTTTCAGAGAGATTGTGTGTTCTTCCTGCATTTGTTTCACTGTAACAGTCCTTTAATTTTTGAGGTATTGGAAATAGAGCTAATAATGACACTTTGAACACAATTGGCTTCCTCTCTGTGAAGGAGAACAAAGCAGAGATTAAGTACTTTAACAAAGGTGTTTAGAAGTTTAATCAGTCATTCTGTGAGACTCCCCGTCACCCACAAGAAATAAAGTACAATAACTCACTAAGAATCAGATAGTTCTTTAAATACATCACCCAAGTTTGTGCACCCATTGTATCTTCAGAGCAGTGGTTTTGTTTGTGATTGTTGTTTGTCTTATTTTTTCTTTCTTTTCTGTAAAGCACTGTTGAGATGTATTTGAGGAATTGAAAGATAGGATGTCTTCTAAAAGTTTCAGATGTCAGCTGACTTCTTTTACTGCCATCTCTTCGGTTTTTGCTACTACATCTTCTGACCCTGGGAAAAACTTCCTGGTCAGAAGTCTCTGGTCAAAAATCTATGTGGGTCAAAACAACTGTTTGGGTCACAGCTGAGTTCTAATTGTTTGGACCCATTCTGATATTGGTTTCTTATCAACTGGCTCTTGCCTATACTTCAGTTCTGTTCATTGAATTCTCAACCCATCTACTCTTATGTAGGGACTTGACTGAATACGCTGCCCTAAGATTTCCCCTGGGTGCTACTTTCCTCATCACACTCCATACTTGTTGGGTCTGCCTGCCTGTTGGCAACACGTGGCCATTGATGGCCAGTCCCCTGATGCATGCCCAGTTGTTTGGCTTTTTACACATTACAGCCTGGTTCTCAGTCCTGACTGCACATTTGATCATAGGAGAGCTTCTAAAGAACATGTATGCCTGGTTCCTCCTTCTAAAAATACAGATTTAGTTGATTTCATATGAAATTATTTTTTCTTATGAAAGGTTTTTGTTACAGGCTAAACTGTGTCTCCCTAAAATTCATATGTTGAAGTCGAAGCCCTCAATACCATACCACAGAATGTGATTATATTTGGAGATAATGTCTTTCAAGAGGTAATTAAGTTAAAATGAGGTCATTAGGGTAGGTCCTAACCTAGTAACTGGTATCTTTACAAGAAAAAAATTCAGATATAGCCACGCAAAAGAAAGATCATGTGAGGACACTGGAGGAAGATAACTATCTATAAGCCAAAGAGAGGGCCTCAAAAGAAACCAATATTGCCAATATTTTGATCTCAGACTTTTTTTCTCCACAACTGTGAGAAAATAATTTTTGTTTAAGTTACCCAGTCTGTAGTATTTGTTTTGGCAGCCATAACAAACTAATACATTTCTTAAGTAATTTTAATAAGTAGCCAAGAGTAGGGGCCAAATTCCAGCATTTACCTAATCATCTGGAGTGCTTGTTAAAACCCAGATTATTAGATTCTATCCTCAGAGTTCCTGATTCGGTGTATCATGAGAAGGACCTGAGAATATGCATGTCTATCAAGTTCTCAGCTGATGTGGATATAGCCAGGACCATAGACACAAACACTGCACTATCTTGCTGTATGACGTAGTGGATTGTCTTTCCAGCTTTCCCCTCTTTACTTCCAACCACTTTACCGATCAGCCCAGTGTCCAAGGGTCCTTTATCCCTTGTTCTGGTTCTTCCTGTGCTAACCAGATAAGCTGCCCACGATTCGTATGTGAATTTCCTTAAGAAGATGGGCACTTCAGAAGGGAAAATAATGTCTGGAAAGAGTTCCAATAACAGTAAGTCTGTGACAGAAATGGATGATATCTGTTGATGATAATAGGTATCTTCACCTGGACTGGTGTGAAGTATATTCATGTTGAGTAAATTCACTGTACAAGTTGTAGTGATATATAGTGCTTGAATATATGAAATAAACTAACTAAATTGAAAAAAAGTAAGTCTGTGTATGTGTCTGTGTCTTTAATGTCTTTCCCTAAAGAGTTTGAGGCAATACAAAAAGTTGGGAGAACTGGGTCACTTCATGTCTGAAGAGCTGAATAAATGTTTCAATTTTAACACATTAAATATTAAATGTATTCTATAGGTTTATGTGGGGTTAATATTTAATAGATATTAAAATATTTTTCTCAATTGATAGTTGATCTATAGAGTCAATAATAGTTATAATAATAATAATAATAATAATAATGCTGTTAGAAATTTGCAGAGTACTTTGTAGTGTGCCAAGAAGAAGGTGTATATGACACCATTGCACTTTATTCCTGTGAGGCTACTCATGTTGGAGCTTCTAAGTCCATCGCTTTGACTGTGGAGTAGCTAATGCATGAGAACTTCCTTGTATGAAGTTCTATGTCTTGCTTGCTCTTAAGAGTGACTGTAAAGTTCAAATTGACAAACTTATCATTTTCACACCTTAGAAGAGAAGACAGTCTTGCTTTCTTCAATCCACCTTAGTCTGTGAATTTCTTTCAATCACTTTTGTGTCTCCAGTGAATAGGATAACGTGAAGCATAGATCAGGTATGCAGTAAATGGTTGTTGAAATAATCAGAAAATGAGGCCTGTAGCCTGCACATAAAATGTTATTTCTCACTTTTATACCCAGTATATTCTCCTGTGCTGCACAACACTATTCTTCACCTAACTTGGATTTCAAAATTCATTTCAAAGACATACTCCAAACTGAGTTTCAGTCATAAAAGTCCAGAACTGTGCTCTTTCTCTCCTTTGCTTTGAAATTCAGTGGGTATTGATTTAGTAATCCTATCAATAAGAGCCAACCTTTAGAGAACCCTGTGCAAAGTGCATCACATGAGTAATCTCATTTAATTTTCACAAATCACCTAGGGATTTTAAACACTATATATTTTTCAGTTGACCTGAGATCAGTCAAACCAGAACACCTGGAAGAGAATTCTGGGAGTAAGTAGTTTAAAAGCCCCCTTGTGGTTTTAATGTGCATTCACCATTGAGAATCTCTAGTCAAAGAAAACATAACCTTGTTTTGATTGAATGAGCTCTTACAACCTGAAAGAGATTTAAAAATAGTTCAGAAAGTTCTTTTCCATTGTTGAACTCTTGTCCTTCCTTGATTATATCTCCATTCCTCTCTAGTCAGCTCTTCACAGTTTAGGATCCAGTTCCCTCACCTACTTTCTAGACTAAAACACTCCCAGTCCCCTCTCACTTCCTCCTCATTGCTTCCCCAATTATTATTAAGCTCAACAAAACGAAAGTTAAAAAAAAAAAAGAAAAAATAGTTTCAAACAGTTCTTGGGGAGTGTTAATTCACGCCACCACTAACTAGTATTGAAATTACGTGTTCAAAGAGAATAAATTGTTTGAAGGAAAGGCTTGGTGTGTCTGTATCGGTTACGATCATTCAATAAATGTGAGTATATTGCTTGTTCATATTACTTGATGGTAGCAAAGAGGATGAAGGGATTTGTGATTTGGGTTCAAAATATTGGAATTTCTTTGTGAGGTGCCCTTGAAAGTTTCTATTCTGGGGAGTAACAGGTTCGAAATAGTATTTGAAAAAGACAGCAAAGGCTGCAGTCGAATTCAAGTGGCTAAGAATTTGGAGACAATGGGAGACAATGATTGGGGCCATAGAGAAAGAGATGATAATTGTTTTAGGGGTAGAATCCATAAGGTAGTATGATATTTTAAAACACCTCTTATTTTAGCATCATTGCGTTTGTTTATGAGGGGATTAGCTGTGTCTACAAGAGAACCTTTATCTTTTAAAATGTGTTGTAGAATAAAAGTATTGTAACATCTTAGCACAATATAATCACTTATTGACCTTGCTTTCTTTTTAAAATTAAATATAAACCCGACTCTTAGAGAATAAGAGTGGGGAGTCAAATGTAATTAAATGTAAAATGTGATTTTCTCTTCTTGACCGACAATGATTTCTGATATAAGTGTTCGGCAAATACACAAAATGTTTTATATTCAACTAACAGTAAGAGGTCTTAAGTAAGGTAAAAAAACAAAACCAAACAAATTAACACTGAACTGTCTTAGCTCTTGCATCAGCCCACTGCTTTATTGGCACTTAGAATTTACAGTGTATTCAATAGTTGTATCAATCACTCAAAAATCAATCACCTGAAAGTTATAATGTAGTAGACCTGCTAGAGGTGCTACCCTACCCTGTACTAGTAAATTACTAAGGATCCATCAAAATTTCAGGCATTTAAGACCTTTTCCAGTAGAATCTTAGAGAAGTCAACATAGAGAATCATGCAAGCCACTGACAGGGTGGCTGTATGTTACAATATGCATAGGATAGTCCTAGTTTATGCCAGTAATATTGGCCTAAATGTAATCCCCAATTTTATTTTCAACAGTGTACTGATTTAGACTATGAATTACTTGATTATCCTAGCTGTGGACAGAGAAAATGCTTATGTGGTGGAGGGGACAAGGTTCTCAAAAATATGACAGCTTACTTTTTCTTTCCTTCTTGACTGAATAACTAAGCTAAGTGGCCAGATCCTTTGCTTCAGTGAGTTAGGTCTGGGAATAGCCAGAGGACAGAAGCTGAGGTGGAGAGAGAAGATCAGAGTCCCTCAAGTCCTCATGAGAGAGGTAACGGGAGTTACAGGAAAAACAAATGGAGTTTACTAAAATATCCCTAGATATAGACAAAAACATTGGCAAAAAAAATAGGACAGTCACTCTTCCTGAGACCCAGATTTTAACAGCTCATTGGCAAACTAAATTAGAACCTGTCTGGGAAAATTCCAGAATATCAATGATGAAAAACATATTCACCAAGAAGACAATGACACATGCGAGAGCAAGAATTCAGGCCTACTGTAGAAAGCCTAATAGGAAAGACTCCAAGCAGGCAGGCAGTGGGTGAGAGGGCACAATTCTGCCTTCAGGATCTGTGGGTACATGCTTATTCTTGCACCTTCTCTGAGCTGATGACTAATCAATCCTAAACAAATTAACTAACCTCTTTGTGCCTTGCTTTTCCAACCTGGGAAATGAAAAGAATCAAGTCTTTCTCTTACTATGGCATGGACAAAGATTTTGCTCTATTTTACAAGTGTAAATCTTATTTTAAAAAAACCATGTTTTCTAGGCATAAGCTTCTATTAAATATAAGATGCAAGTCCTTCATATTATCTATGGAGAGTTTTCTTAGACTGGCTAGAACTAAAACTTTTTGTAACATTAGTTTTTAAACATTTATTGATTTAATTTTATTTCTTATTATTTTTAAATTTTGACATGAGGAGGAGAGAGAGAAAGTGAGAGAGCAAGCTGCCAGGTCTGAGACTTGAACCGTGGATGGCCATGTGGAGTCCAGCACTTTAACCACCACACCACCTGCCAACCCTAGAACTAAAACTTCTTGCTGCTTGTCAAAAGGAAACTCCAAAGTTGTGTTGTATTTTGACCTTTAAAGCCACAACTTTGATTTAGATGATGTATGTATGCCCTATAGACTGGATGAAATTGATGTTTATTTTTTGAAACTTCACAAATTTATCCATATATAAAAAAGAATCTCATTGGACTCTTAAAAATAAAGTTGAGGTTCATTTTCCGTTACATAAGTTTAATGTTTTAACAATTGAGGAACTAACTCGTCTCAAATCCTATAAGTCAGCAGAAAAAAAAATGTTTATTTTTAAAAGGCAAGCATAACAGGCTTCTGATATGGAATATCAATGCTCATAGCCCAAAGTTGGAGAATTTTTAAAAATGCCAAATGAATAAATTTTCTTTTAAACCCTGTTTTGTAAGGTACCAAATCTTCCTGCTCTTCTCCCCATTCCAACCCTCTGATGTAGTATCTTATGGACAGGAAAGCATCTTGCTACTTAAAGTGCGGTTCTGAATCAGCTGCGTGGACATTACCTTGGGAACTTGTTAGAAATGAAAAATCTCAGGCCTCTTGTTAGAGCTATTGGATCAGAATTGCATTTTAACTAGCTCTCCTGGCAATTTTCATGTGCAAATTTGAGTACCACTGGTTTAAAGAACTCTTGGCTAGAAATAGAAGAGAGCATAAAAACAATTTAGTCAAATAGAAGAATAAGTGAAATCAAACTGCCTCGTGCTTACCTCCAGAAAGAGAAATAACATTAAACCTCTGAGGGCCCGTTTCTTACCCCATGTACACACTGATATCTAATGTCTTTCCTTATCACTTGTTTGTCGTCTGTTTTTTGTTCATATTATGCATGGTGGTTGCATGTAATTATGCTTAAACTATATAATTGCTATTACTTTGCAAACTTTCAAACTCCCTCTAACATTACTTCATTCTCAACCCCACAGTATACTCTATTTACACAGCCTATATCTGTTTCCTTTTCTCTGAGACTCCTTTCTCCATGAAAGCAGACATAATATGAAATAGAAGAATGGTCTGGCTTGGGAATCTACTGGTTCTGGGAGTGCAGCCATGGACCAGTGCCAGCCAGAACTGGATGAATGATACCAGGGGGAAAGCAAGATCCGGGATCTTCATTAACAAAAGGAGGGGCATATTTTAGTCATGGGTAATGTAGAATTCTGCTGCGGCATGAACCATGGCTGATGAGAATGTTCATTTTAATTTCCTTTGAGGGCAAAAACATGGCATATTCTTGGCTGACACTGCTTTCCAGAAAAAACATCAATAGAAAGAGACACTTAGAATTAAAAAAATATATATTTCTACTTCATTTCCAGTAATGCATCATAAGTTATTCCTTATTAAAATTAAAATAAAGAGTATGAATCCATCTTGATTGAGGAAGACAGAAGAGTTGAAATAGCATAATTACAGGAGAGAAAGAACAGAACCGTTAGAATCATACAGACATGCTAGAGTTCAAATCCTATATCTGCTGCTTATGAACTGCAAGCTTGACCAAATTACTTGACCTTGCTGAGCCTCAGATTTCTTATCTTGAAGAACTGTTTTAAAGGATCAAATGAGATAATGTATTTATGGACTCTAGCATTGGACCTGCTATTTAGTCACTCAATGAATATTAAACATCTTTTTTCTCCTTTTTCTTTATTTCATTCTAAATCAGTGGGTAGGATTATTTTATATGATTAAATAACTTGAGAGATAGTCACTGCTAGGACTAAAAGTCAAATTTAATAACCATGATCTACACATAGAATCATTGTAAATGAATTCATGGGCACTGTTTGTGTGGATTACACTAATGTGTGGAGGAAGCAGGGCTGATTAGTAAGAATAAGGAGTAAGGCTAGTAATGATTCTGGAATTTGCGACTCCAAAAGGAAAGAACGATGGCTATCCTCAAATGTTTTCCAATATGTAGGAGGGGCACTTCTTTTCTACTGTCTTACCTTTTTTTTATTTTGGAGAGGTTTTTGATATAGGGCATGTGCGCTCACCAGAGAAACAGAGAGACAGAAAGAAAGAGAGAAATCACCCTTCAGGGGGGATGGCCATGCTCCAATCCCTTCTCTTCCATTTTCCTCTCTGGATCTTAGACATGCATGCACATGCCCCCAGCATGAGTTTAAGTCACCAGGTCCGAGACTCGAATCGCGGTCCGCTACATGGGAGTCCAGCGACATAACCATTACGCCAAATGCTGGTCCCACTACTGTCTTACCTTTTAAGACAGCAGGAAGTGTTTCTAAAAAGGGAAATGTTACTCAGATCCATATATGACTCTCATTGTCATTCATTCATGAATTGATTCTATATTTAACTACTTATTAGCCAGATACTGAGTTAGGTGCTAAGGATTCAGGAGTCAATCAAACAGCTGGTAAACACACAAATAGATAATTACGAATTTTGGTAATGACATCTAGGGAAGAGAAAAAAAAATTGTCACAGTGCAATTCCTTCCTATAACCTTAGATTTTTTATCTGGAAGTAAAGCAGTTCCTTTTTGTCTTATTTCTTTTTCCCTTACCATGTTTATTTTGTGTCTGTCTACCTGGCACTATAAATTTGCAGCTTTTCAGACACATTTTTCTTGGTGCTTGGGATGTTAAATTTTATTCTACTTTATTAATTTATTAAAGAAGAACTGAACTACTAAATCTCTTTTAAGTTTTCTTCTATGACTGATTCTACTTGCAAATGTGTATTCTATGGGACTTTTGTGTGTGTGAGGAAGAAGGAACCATTTCTATAAATTTTAGCTACTTTATCCTTATCTGTAATAGATTTACTAAATTGTTAATATGCCAAACAACAAACAAAAAAAGAGGACAGCAGGACCATAATCCAGGGACAAAGAGGATTGTATTTGTTTATAGCTGTCCTGGCCCCATGCACAGGTGGTTTGCTTAATCAAGTAATGCAAGAGTTCGGCTATATTCTGACAATAGGATAGGTAAACAGCAGAAAACATTGTGGTAGATGATGAGCCCAATTATTTA